AAACGGTGCCGAGGACAGAAACCTTCAAAGCGCATTCGAAAAACATTAGGAAATGGGAAGTATGAGTGAATGAGCAGCGGTTTGGCAGACGAAGTTAGGGAGTGATAACGGTAGGGAGTATACCAAATGGTCGGCAATAATTTATCCTGCGATTCCTCATCAATATAGGGTGGGCGGTAATTTTGACGACTGCCTTCTAGGAGGGGGGGGAGGGGTGGAGTATATATATGGAATGAAACGGTAAAGTGCGGTAATTTCCGGAAAAAAATATTTTCTCGACCAATCGGCCGGCGAAGCCGGCCGATTTGACTGGCCTTCCCTCTCATGAAAATGTGTAGGGATACCCACTCCTCACGCAGAACCACTTCACACGAGAAAGAGGATGGCTCGGCGAAGCCGGCCGATAGACTGGTAGCCAATAACTCAAAATAACCCAAAACCCAAATGAACTTGGAAAGAAAGATTCTCGGCGTAACTCTGTACATAGGGGTAGCTAATGGGCCTGATCACGGTTCTGATACATATTTTTGACGCGAAGGCCATTTGGGGCCAGTGTGGCCTAAATAGGCCCTTGACAATGATGTTAGTGCGAGGGAGCTTTTGCACTAAATTGGCGACACATTGCACCATATTCAAAAATGAGTGTCGTGTTCGTAATAAGGGCAACGGATAACTGCCGTAACCGAAGGAGCTTCTTCAGTAGTACCTCGCAGAGTCATAGTTGAGTGTGAACCATAACAGCACAGAATGCTAAATGACGTGTATCCGGGTTATACACATTATCGGGCAGACAGGAATACAAGAAGGAGGAACTCTGAAAATGGAATATGCCTTCTAGAGGATGCTATCCATAAACTACACGGTTGAGAGGCCGCCGCCCTATCCACCACACGATTCGTCCATGTTACCGGAGAGCTGCAGGACCCGCTGAACAGACATGCGGAGCTTACTGAAAGCCGAGTACAGTAGTTGGATTTTGACCTTATGTATCGCTGTTTTTCATGCCTATTCAAAGAACACCTCATAAACTATACATTTTCAACGCTACAGCTAGAATAAGGTGGTTTGAATAGCCCTTTCTTGTCGAATTTTTTCACTACTTTTTTAGCATTCTCAGTAACGTTTAGCAAAAATGAACCCCATAGGTGCGGTCCAAAAAATGCGACCTTTCATCACGCACCCCCCCCCACGCAACAAACCGTTTCTGAGAAGCACACCACGACCTGAACGAACTCCCTTCTGGTTTTTTAACTCTAGGTGACCCAAGACGCTTCTCTGTTAAGCTGCACTCGAAGCTCATAAAAAGTTCAACCCACGTCCGCAGTTTTTTGAATTGAACAAGCGATTGCGATTCAGAAATGAGACTCTCAGAAACTCCTCCAGTTTTTATGAAATTGGTACCAAAGAATGAGCATTATGTGGATGACCCAGTATCTGCTTTCTAATCATCTCTGATATGCGAAATAGCACATTCAGCCATTATATAGTTTAAAAGTCCAACCATGTACCCCTGGAGCCAAGCGTGGCTTGTCTGTAAGAGTACCCTTAGGTGCTTCGTTGGAATGAAGACATGAAAATCAGGAATTCGGATTTCATAAAAGAAGCATAAAAAGCAAAAGCAGCAAAAAGCATAAGCATAAAGCATAAGCTTGTAGAACTTCGACGAGCTGCATACAAAGGTATAAGGCTTGCCATAAGTGACATGAACACAATTGAGTATATTAAGCCAAAAAAAAACGCAAAAAAAAACGAGAAAAAAACGGAGATAGGTGTTTTTCATTTCGAACATTTAGGGAGGGTATTGTAGGGTAAAACAGCTTGGAGTATAGACAATTTCAATGGGTGGTCTGCTAGCGTGTGGAATTAAAAACTGCGTCCAATACGATGCCCCTACGAAAAGGTAGACCTTGACTATTTTCATGACGAAACTTGCTTCAGCTCTCGCACTTACCTGCTTTTTCAATTTCCTTTTTCTTACATCCGACAGGAAATCGTTGATATACTTCTCAGGGGCGAAATTGCGATATACAATTAGGATAGGATCTTCGCTCAATACTTCGACGTTCAGTCTTTGGTAACTGACAATGGAGCTGTAGCAGGATAGAGCTGTAATATTGACAATTCAAAATTTTTCTTATTTCTATACGTCCTTTGCTCAATCCAGAAGGAAGGCTGAGAAGGCACGTTCCCAGTGAAACTAAGCCTGTAATTTCTTAAATGCGTCGATTGAGATAGGCAATTGTAGAGCCTGTGCTACATTAAAAAGGTGAAAAATCGCAGAAACTCTGGAGGAAGCTGGCAGTTAAGCCCGTGAGCACCCCATGCCAACCCTCGGTGGCTTCTAGCTACTAAACGGTCTACATTCTACTAGCTATCTCTCTATTCGAAATGGTGAGAGCGAGGTGATATGATAAAAGAGCTGATATCGTTATGATAGCAAGCGAGTATGTGCAAACACGCTTTCTCTCCACTTTATCCACGTACAAGCTCTCATTGAAAGCGGATCTTATATACAGCATTTCCGACCCTTTTTCTTGCTTCCCCTTCACTATGCACTTGTTGAGTATCTTGTCGTTCGAATTCAAGCTCCACTACTCAAAATTGGTGTCTGCGGACTTTGCCTTTAGGTTAGCAATCTTGTTATTGCTAGGGATTACGTGTTATGAGTGCACTGCTCCGATATATTAGGCTGAACCTCAAATCATTTCCGACAATTGGAAAGGGTCAAGCGTATGTTGCCGAATCAGCGACGTGGAACTTATATGTGGGTCGCCACAAAGGTGAGGGGAGGGGGGAGTGGGTCGCAACTGCTGGTGTCAAAGATGAATAGAGCTGACGCATAGTGGAACCTCAATGCAAATGAAACTACAACATCCCTACAAGGTCAGTTTGTTTTAAAACGCCAACGAGTTCAACAGCTAGCTCAGTGTTTGTTTCCCCATTAGGTCCATATTCTACAGATCCATATTTTTATGCACTTTTACTGCAGCTGAAACAATGTTTTAGAGCAAAATGCGCGAGCGGCTCATTTTCGCGACGTGAAAGCTACAGCGCAATTCTTGTGCTTGTTGGAAAGAACGAATCTTTCGCTTTTTGAAGCCACGACGTAGCCTTTCTCTCTACGTTATCTGAACAAAGTCGTGTGCACTGAGATATAAAAGCCCGCGTTTTCCAGAAATTACTCTTATTTATTCTCATTTCTCACTCTTCAGATATTGAGACACAGGAAATATGAGTTAGTGGAAACGTGTTGTTCTAGTCTGTTCAAATGTTTTTGTAATGCCTCAAAAAGTAAATGCAAGTGGAATGACGAAGACGGGGATACCACGCTAAAATAGATGGATGACGCTTCGCTGACGGTGGATGCTTTCTAGCGACTCAATGCTTGTGTCGGGATAGTACTTGTGGATGATAATTTCGTATTGCTCCTCAGAGAAACATTGCTCGCAGTAGCAGAAAAGTGATTCTGTTTTGCCCGAGATTCACGGTCATAGTTTATCCTACATATTCGAAGCTTGTTCCTAAGCTGCTATGACGCGCCGACCTTGTGCAAAGGAAGATTACTTTTATCAAATAACTGGATCATTTTGAAGTGATGCTTTCGGTTCTGAACTGCATAAAATGACAACTGCATTGCGCCCCATCCAGAACATTTGAACAGGCTAGAACAAAATGTTTCCACTAACTCATATTTCCTATTGTCTCAATATTCTAGTTAGTCGAAAGGTATTTATACTCACATTCATTCAGTCGTTCAGGGTTCTCGCACAGATCCATGTCATCTGTTCCCCATTTCTCCTCACCAACGAAATGTGGACTTGGAGCTGTTGTCGCATTCATTGCATCACTGTCCGTTGAATGTGATAACAGTGGCAAAGACATGAACACGAATATCCCGGCAATGGCAATCATGATGATTGATCTAAAAAGCAAATCGCTGCTCTTATGTTGGTCATAACAATACTTTTGAGGTACATGTCGCGATCATTCAAGGTGGATGTGCTTCC